GGGAGCGGTTCCCTCATCGCCTCCATGAACTGATCGAACTCTTCCTCAGGAACCAGGCCTTGCTCCTTGTAGTAATGCTCAAAAAGTTTGTTCTCTTTGACAATGTCCGCATATCCAGCTCCCCAGCCCTAAAACACAGTGGTTAGTGTTTAAACAAGGCCTTCTGTTTTATTCCTGCCTGGTTATTTAGTCTTTACACACTTTATTCTGCCTAAGATATAAATATAGACTTCCTTTATTGTCATTGCACAAAAAACCAAAGGTGAATTTGACAACGAAATGTCCATTACTTGGGTACCAGTATAACAGCTAAGACCTTATTTCTACACAATAAATATGTATTGTATTGTATTCTATAACTAAGCGCTAAGAGCTAGCTATATACAGGGTAAAGAATTATATTTATACATATATATTGCACTAATATGGGAAACTTAAGCCGATTGAACTGCTATTGCATTTCATATTAACGAAATTAAATGTAAAAAAAGCTAGAAAAGACGTCATGCATCTATTAAAGAGTGACAGATGATGGATTTGGACACATGGATTAGCCAACAGCAAACATTTCCAAAGTTACATCCGAGTTCCAGAAAAATGTAGTTTATCAACCACTACTTATCAACTGCTTATTGGCATGTTTATGGTTCACTATTTCCAAAGGTTTTCGCTTATTAAGATGAACTAATAACATATTTGCACGTGGAGGTATGCCCCATAATTTCTCATAACTTCTCCCCCATCCAAAGGAAGTTGAATATCTAAATAAATGTAAAAAAGAAATGTAAAAAAGAAAGAAAAGACGTCATGCATCTATTAAAGAGTGACATAATCGAATACCCCCCCCTTAACACTGAAATTGCACATCCTACCTGCACTAAATAGAAACACACACACACACACACACTGAACCAACTCAAAAACATACATACACACACATATCCACACACGCACGCTGCCACTTTCTTCATGCCTGTTACTTGAATGAATGTATTGTACAGTAAATATTGCACATTACAATTGATCACTTTATATCTATTATATCACACAACTTTCTTATTATATGTCCAATTTATCTAACTTATCTCATTTATGTCTATGTATGCACGGGAAAGCAACAAACGAAATATCAATTCTTTGTATGACCAATACATGTAAAGAAATTGACAATAAAAGCCTACTTGACTTGACTTGATGATGGATTTGAACACATGGATTAACCAACAACAGCAAACATTTCCAAAGTTACATCCCAGTTCCAGAAAAATGTAGTTTATCAACCACTACTTATCAACTGCTTATTGGCATGTTTATGGTTCACTATTTCCAAAGGTTTTTGCTTATTAAGATGAAATAATAACATATTTGCACGTGGAGGGATGCCCCATAATATACTCCTCCATACTGTTTATGTAAAAGAAATAACTCATAACTTCTCCATCATCCAAAGGAAGTTGAATATCTGAATAAATGTCTATGTAATCTACAAGAAGAGGTTATAATGTCAAAAAATTTAAGTTTTCTTAATGGGGGGAAATTAAGTGAAGCACATATTTGTTGTTTGGAAATATACACTTTTTCTCTCATTTTTCCTGGCCTTTGTTTTTCTAGTCTTTATACACATCATTCTGCCTAATATGGGAAACTTAAGTCAATTTAATTGCTATTGCATTCCATATTAACGAAATTAAATGTAAAAAAAAGCAAGAAAAGACGTCATGCATCTATTAAAGAGTGACAGATGATGGATTTGGACACATGGATTAGCCAACAGCAAACATTTCCAAAGTTACATCCTAGTTCCAGAAAAATGTAGTTTATCAACCACTACTTAACTGCTTTTTAGCATGTTTATGGTCCACTATTTCCAAAGGTTTTCGCTTATTAAGATGAACTAATAACATATTTGCACGTGGAAGTATGCCCCATAATTTCTCATAACTTCTCCCCCATCCAAAGGAAGTTGAATATCTAAATACATGTCAAAAAGAAATATAAAAAAGAAAGAAAAGACGTCATGCACCTATTAAAGAGTGACATATGATGGATTTTAACACATGGATTAGCCAACAACAGCAAACATTTCCAAAGTTACATCCCAGTTCCAGAAAAATGGCCGCTCAAAAACGCCTGTTTGCAAAGAAAAGGCGGCTCTTTAGATTTAATATAATCTATATTTAGCTTATAATGCCTCGCCTGGTTGATAATTAAACATTAGCAGGAGTTGCTAAAGAGGGAGCAGGACTCTTACAGCGTTGTCTCTGTTGTCCCTCCCGGTATTTTGGGTTTTCTGCCTCTGCCTGCTTCTCTTCCCCATCTTGGAAGAGCAAACCACCCGGGAAAAGAG